CTCCAACCCCCTTGTCTGTCCTTCCCCTACTCCCACTCATCAGGAAGAACTCACAGATTTAGAGGAGAACCAGGTTCAGAGAGGAACCGAGTACTCTACCCTGAGAAGGAGCTCCTGAAAGGCTTCCCTCCTTTTCCCTCCCTTTATCCATAAAACACCCAGAGCCCTATTTCCTGCCTTTGCTGATGAGAACCATTCATTTCTGGAAACAATCAGTTATTTCTGCTCTCATGAGTTAGTGTCTTTTCTTTTTTAAATTCTGGGGTACGTGTGCAGAATGTGCAGGTTTGTTAATAGGTATACACGTGCCATGGTGGTTTGCTGAATTAGTGTCTTTTCTTGCTGGGAAAAACTCCAGTCAAACCCTTAACTTCATCTCCTTGTTCTTAGAGCATGATCTTGTGGATCTGAGAGTTGGGATCCCTTTTGACTGGGTAGTCTTGGCTTTTTGGTTTTTTTTGAAATGGAGTCTTGCTCTGTTGTCAGGCTGGAGTGCAGTGGCGAAATCTCGGCTCACCACAACCTCCGCCCCCCAGGTTCAAGTGATTCTCCTGCCTCAGCTTCCCGAGTAGCTGGGACTACAGGCATGCACCACCATGCCTAGCTAATATATATATATATATATTTTGTATTTTTAGTAGAGATGGGTTTTCACCATGTTGGCCAGGATGGTCTCCATCTCTTGACCTTGTGATCCACCTGCCTCGGCCTCCCAAAGTGCTGGGATTACAGGCATGAGCCACCGCGCCCGGCCAGTCTTGGCTTCTTTATGTGGCTACAGGGCTCCAGGGAGCCATGCTGAAGGCCTGAGAAGGAGCTGGGGTGGGATAGGGAAGGATCGAGGGCCTGTCTGTGGCTGCCGTGACCCTCACGTTGGGAAGCCCCCATCACTCTGGTGCCTGAGAATCCCTGTGCCTTTTTTTTTTTTTTTTTTGAGACGGAGTTTCACTCATGTTACCCAGGCTGGAGTGCAATGGCACGATCTCGGCTCACCGCAATCTCCGCCTCCTGGGTTCAGGCAATTCTCCTGCCTCAGCCTCCTGAGTAGCTGGGATTATAGGCACGCACCACCATGCCCAGCTAATGTTTTGTACTTTTAGTAGAGACGGGGTTTCACCATGTTGACCAGGATGGTCTCGATCTCTTGACCTCGTGATCCACCCGCCTCGGCCTCCCAAAGTGCTGGGATTACAGGCTTGAGCCACCGCGCCCGGCATCCCTGTGCCTTTTGGATTTGTTCTCCCTGTTTCTGTGAGCTTGAGTAAGGTTGTGGATTTTTGGCTTCTCTTGTACTCAAGAAATCTGCCTACACCTACAGAATTTCTTCTGCCCCGGGACTGGGCCCCTTTTTAAGTCTGAAAAATGCAGCAATATCAGAGTGAGTTATATACATGTATAACATGCAGATGCTGGTTATACATATGCAGTATCAGGTGAGTTATGCACACTTAGAGCATACACATGCCGTGTCAGCATAAGTTAGGATGAGCTTATGTGAGATCACAGGAATTCTGAGTGTGACCCTCAGGAGTCCCTGTTTCAGTCAAGCAGGAAACTTGGTGCCCCAGGGCAGTGAAGCCGAGTAGGGAGTGCAGAGGAGGAGGGCAGAGTGAGGGCCTCAGGCTTCTGGCACAAGGCCCTGGGTGGTGCCGGGGTTTGGGGCTGAGGGGCCTCACAGACTCCAGGAGGAAGTGTGTTCAGGCCTAGCAGGCTGAGCTTCTCAAACACCACCTTATGGAGACAGCAGAAGATGTGAGTGTGGGGGGAACTGTGTATATTGGGGAGTTGGGGGAACTGCCAGAAGTTATTTCAGCAGCATATCCTTCACCCACCACTGTTTCTGGAGGGCCCTGACCTCTCCATCCCCCTCCAAGCACCACCCTGGCACTCGCCCATCCTGGGTTTGTGAGGTGACCTCTGCCCTTCATCCCCTAGAGATGTCTGTTTGGCCAGGGCTAGCCGGTGGGACTGCAGCCTCCCAGCATTTGTGCCTCTCTTCTGGAGGCGGCTAAGCCACGGTTTCCTCACCTGTGAAGTGGAGATGATGGTAGCCTGGAGACTTTGGGATGAGTCAGCTTGCCTAGGCTGAATCGCATTCTTAGAGTTCCTTTTCTTGGGTGTGTCTTGTTATCGTGGGTCACCGAGAGCTTCCCATGGTGTGGGGCTTGGGGGCGGGTGGGAACAGCAGTCCTCTCTGTAGCTCACACACGCTGTTGCGGCCCTGCTGACTTGTGGTGCTGATGTGAGGTGGTGGCCAGGCCTGCACCTGCCACCCTCCTCTGGAGCCCCCTTCAGTCTCCAGCCCCTGAGCCAGGCATATGTGTTCAGTTCCAGGATGAAGGATCTTGGCTTTGGCAGGATGCCCACACCAGCAACTTCAGAAGCAACAAGAACTGACATTGGTTTCAGTCTGTCTGTCCTCGGCTCTCCAGCCTGTGCTTACGGATTCTGACTTGCCCTTGATCTCCCCCACTTTACCTCTATGCTTATTTCCCAACCATCTCCCCTGCAAACCTCAAGCCCCAGCATCAGATGGGAAGACAGCCGCTTTATAGACACGGCTTACCCAGTGCCCACGACTGCCTAAGGTCAAATCCCCGAAATAAAGCCCTTCACATGTATCAGAAGGGTCTCTCTCTACCATCTATCTATGTGTCTATGTATCTTTCTGTGTATCTATGTATCTATCCATCTATCATCTATCTACTATCTATTGTATATTTATTTATCTATCTTCTATTCACTATTTACCTATCTATCGATCCATCTATCTATCTATCTACTTCTCTGGCTAAATGCTGACCCAGGTAGACATGTATTGCCTCATGAGGTCAGAAATGAATGGAGCCCAGACACTTGAAAGCATTTGGTCACTGTAGGGTAGTGGTTCTTCAACTTGAGGACACGTCAGAATTGCATGGAGGGCTTGTTAAAATCCAGAGTGCTGGTCCCACTTCTGGAGTTTCTGGTTCTCAGGTCTGGAGTGGGGCCTGAGAATTTAATTGGTAAAGCTGCCAGGTGATGCTGACGCTACGGATCTGGGGACCACACCTGAGAACCACTGCTGTAAGGCATGGTATGTGAGGGTGAGGGGTTACTGCAGCCCACACAGCGATCCTGGCAGGGCAGCTGCAGCAGTGCCTTCCCTGAGGCAACAGGAATCTTCGCAGTCTGAGGACCCTGCAGGATCACAGGGCCAGGGATGAGACACGGAGCCTTGCTTGCATCTGCTCCTCAGCCTGCTTTGGGGATGAAAGCACAGGGCCCCTGCTTTCTGGGAGGCACACTGGTCGGAAGGGAGAGGCCAGGCTCAGGAATAGTGGACCCAAGGGTGAATCCTGGCCCTGTCCAGTATTCCCAGGCAAGCATCCTGCTCTGTGAGTCAGGATAATGATGCCTCACCGGGTTTTCAAGAGGCAGATACAAATGAAGTCCCTGTAGAATAAATGCTACTTCCCTATGGCTCTCTGACTTAGCTTTTGCTATTGATTGAAAAATGTGCAATTGAGGTTTTGAACCTAAGTTTGAGACTTTACAATGACCTCGATTAAGTTGAGTTTGACTGGTTTTAATCCATCATCCCAGGCTGCTAAGATGCGCCTAAGCCTTCAGCCTGTCAATTGGCATATTAGTGGTCCCTCCCTAGTTACTGGTGGCCTGCCAGCTCTTCCTTCCTTAGCATTGCTGACACTAGATTGTATTTTTTTTTTTTTTTTGAGGCTTGCTCTGTAGCAGGCTGGAGTGCAATGGCGTGATCTCTGCTCACTACAACCTCCACCTCGCCGGTTTAAGCCATTCTCCTGTCTCAGCCTCCCAAGTACCTGGGACTACAGGCACGCACCATCATGCCTGGCTAATTTTTGTATTTTTAGTAGAGACGGGGTTTCACCATGTTGGCCAGGATGGTCTCAAGCTCTTGACCTTGTGATCTGCCCACCTCGGCCTTCCAAAGTGCTGGTATTACAGGTGTGAGCCACAGTGCCCAGCCTTGATTGCATGTTTTAGGGCACACAGTGGGGTAGGGGAGCAGAGCTTGCTCATGAAGCCAGGGAAGAGTTCTCAACTCAGCACTTTTGCAGCTCTGAACTGGGAAGCTGCCTTCAAAGTTTTTAGTGGGTCTTTGCACCCAAATTAGAAACACCTCGCGCCTGTAATCCCAGCACTTTGGGAAGCTGAGGCAGGTGGATCACCTGAGGTTAGGAGTTTGAGATCAGCCTGACTAACATGGTGAAACCCCATCTCTACTAAAAATACAAAATTACCTGAACATGGTGGTGGGCGCCTATAATCCCAGCTATTCAGGAGGCTGAGGCAGGAGAATCTCTTGAACTCAGAAAGTGGAGGTTGCAGTCAGCTGATATTTCACACGGCATTGCAATCCAGCCAGGGCAACAAGAGCAAAACTCCATCTCTAAAAAAAAAAAAAAAAAAGCTGGGCATCGTGGCTCATGCCTGTTAATCCCAGCACCATGGGGGGCCGAGGTGGGTGGATCACCTGAGATTGGGAGAGCTCGAGACCAGCCTGACCAACATGGAGAAACCCCGTATCTACTAAAAAAATACAAAATTAGCTGCGCGTGGTGGTGTGTGCCTGTAGTCGTAGCTACCTGGGAGGCTGAGGCAGGAGAATTGCTTGAACCCGGGAGGCAGAGGTTGTGGTGGGCCAAGATCGCACCATTGCACTCCAGCCTGGGCAACAAGAGCGAAACTCTGTCTCGAAATACATACATACATACATACATACATACATAAAACAAAATAAAATAAAAATAAACATTTGAAGTGGTGGATACAGGAAGGGTCCCCTGTACTGATGTTCTGGTTTGTTGCCCACCTGAACACTGACTGTGTGTGCGCCCAAAGCTGAGAGGACACCAGACCTAAGATGCGGTTTCTAGCTCCCAGGCAGCCTAGGCGACCAGCTTCGAGAGCGAGAGCTTGTGAAGGGTCCCCCTTCGCTGACACTCTTCCCCATGAATAAAGTACCAAAGGGAGAGACAGAACTTGAGAACACACTTCTTATAACATTGACTGTTTTCAGGGATTGAGTGAGGCCCAAGGGGAAAACAGCCAGGTGCTCTCCAGCAGGAAGGCACAGGGGCGTTGGTCCCCGCTGAACTGACTGGACTGCAGTTCCTGGCTTATCCTCTCACAGTCTCTGTCTCAGGACGTTCTGGAACCAGGCTGCTGCCTTAGACTCGGACTTGCTGTTGTTCCTTCTTTTTCACCTCTGCCCAGATGTCCGACAGGTCTTGGATAAACTGCTGGATCTAAAAAGGCAAGGAGCCCAGTGTTAACTCCGTCCCCCAGAGGCATCCCTCCTCCCAAGACGGAGCATCCCAGGCATTCACTTGCAAAGAGTGCATCGCTTTTCTGTGACTGACTTTTTTTTTGGATATGAGAGTCTTGCTCTGTCACCAAGGGTGGAGTGCAGTGGCGCAATCTAGGCTCACTGCAACCTCTGCTACCTGCGTTCAAGCGATTCTCATGTCTCAGCCTCCAGAGTAGCTGGGATTACAGGTGCCACCAGCTTGCCTGGCTAATTTTTGTATTTTTAGTAGAGATGGGTTTCACCATGTTGGCCAGGCTGGTCTTGAACTCCTGACCTCAAGTGATCCACCTGCCTCGTCCTCCGACAATGCTGGGATTACAGGCATGAGGCACCACACTTCTTGAGGAAGCCGCTTTCTTTCACTTGACAATGTTTTGAGGTGAAATTGAGTGTCAGGTGAAGCCAATTAGAAGCAACAAACAAGGATCGAGCTGGGAACTCCTAGAGGCAGGCCTGGTGATGTGTGAAGTCCAGGCTGAGAATCAAACAGGAGGGAGAAGAAAGAAAGGGTCATAAGCAGGCTAGTGGATGAAAAGGATTTGGCAGGCAGAGTCCCGTCAGCATGGGTAGACCGCCCTCCACAACTTCACCACCCTCAAGGTGGTTGTGCACTCGAAACCCAGAGCTGATGCTCATCGTGATAACCTTGAGTCATGAAAAGAGATGTAAATTCTGTTCACTGGCTTCTGTTTTGTTTTTTTCCTTTTTTTTTTTTTGAGATGGAGTCTCACTCTGTTAACCTTGAGTCATGAAAAGAAATGTAAATTCTGTTCACTGGCTTCTGTTTTCTTTTGTTTTGTTTTTCCTTTTTTTTTATCTTTTTGAGACGGAGTCTTGCTCTGTTGCCCAGGCTGGAGTGCAGTGTGGTGTGATCTTGGCTCACTGCAACCTCCACCTCCCAGTTCAAGCGATTCTTCTGCTTCAGCCTGCTGAGTAGCTGGGATTACAGGTGTGTGCCACCACACCCAGCTAATTTTTGTATTTTTAGTAGAGACAGGGTTTCACCATGTTGGTCAGGCTGGTCTCAAACTCCTGACCTCGTGATCCACCCACCTCAGCCTCCCAAAGTGCTGGGATTACAGGCATGAGCCACCGTGCCTGGCCCTGGCTTCTGTTTTAAAGAACACACAGTCAGCATAACACAGAAAAGGGTGCTACTCCAGAAGTCAGATGACCTAGCTGCACCTCCATTACAGTTCTGGGGAAATCACTGCATCTTTCTGGGTCTCAGTTTCTTCATCTTTAATAAGGAGAGAGGGAGAACAGATTGGTCCAGACAGCCTCTAAGACATCAGTTCTAATGCAAACAAAACCACAATGAGATACCATCTTACGCCACTCAAAATGCCTACTATTAAAAAGTCAAAAAATTACAGATCCTGCTGAGGTTGTGGAGAAAAGGGAACATTCACACACTGTTGGTGGAAGTGTAAATTAGTTCAACCATTGTGGAAAGCAGTGTGGCGATTCCTCAAAAAGTTAAAAGTAGAACTACCGTTCAACCCAGCAATCTTGTTACTGGGGATATACCCAAAGGAATATACATCGTTCTACCATAAACACACATACACGGGATGTTTACTGAAACACTATTCACAATAGCAAAGAGATAGAAAAAACCTAAATGCCCATCAATGGTAGACTGGATAAAGAAAATGTACTTATACACCATGGAATACTATGCAGCCATAAAAAAGAATGAGATCATGTCCATTGTGGGAACATGGATGGAGCTGGAGGTCATTATCCTTCGCATACTAACACAGGAACAGAAAACAAAACACTGCGTGTTCTCATTTATTAGTGGGAGCTAAACAATGAGAACCGGTGGGTACAAAGAGGGGAACAATAGACACTGGAGCCTGCTTGAGGGTGGAGAGTGGGAGGAGGGAGAGGACCAGAAAAAATAACTATTGGATACTAGGCTTAGTACTTGGTTGATGAAATAATCTGTACAACAAACCCTTGTGACATGAGTTTAGCTGTATAACAAACCTGCTCATGTACTCCTGAACCTAAAATAAAAGTTAATAAAAAAAAAAAAATTCAGTTCTAAAACTTCTGTTTTTCAAGGCTATCTCGAGATGGAACTACGCAGACTGTCCAAAGGTCTCGACAACTGTCAGCTGCTGATACTGTTACTATTACCAATATCATTCCCATTTTGCAAATGAGAAAACAAAGAGTCAATGAATTAAAGCAGCTTTCCCAAGATGACAGCTTTCCCTAGAAGACAGGTCAGCATTTCTTGAGCTATGTTCTCATAATAAATGGTCACATGCCTCAAGTCAGTTTTAGAAACGCTGTCTGCTGGGAGCATCTCAGGGCACAGCAAAGACTCTAAGTCCTGTTTGTTTTTTTAAATCTTGTCTTCGTTTAATTTAGTTTTCTAAATGTGTTAGTCTGTGGAGTCCCTTTACTCCCCCCTAGGAAACAATATCTCAGGATTCAGTTTGGAAAGTGCTTGTTCAGATAGTTTGGCTTTTCTTCAGGGATAATGCCAAACCTTCCATGACACACTCTATGGAATTCAAATTGCCCTGGCCTTCTGCAGAATCACTTTTCCTAAGCTGTCCTGTGCACCACGCTCCTAGTTCTGTATAAGCAGCTGCCTTACGAAGCCCCTGCCTGCACTGGTTGCAGGGATGCTGTTGAGAACATCATAGGATGTCAATGAAGGCTCATTGGGAAATTTCCGTGAGAGCTAACTGCCAGGAAGAGGAAACCTTATCTTTTCTTATTCTAGTATAAGAACTACAGGTGGCTTTTCATTTGGATTGCCAGGAAGCTCAGAGCCAATTAACTGTCCCTGTCTGAGGGACTTGGTAACTGTCCCTTGGTGAGAACCAAGGGCAGTCTGTACTTCTCTCCATCCTTGACCTCTGATTTCAACTTGTACTTTCCCAGGTTGAATTAATTTTAAATCTTCAGGTTACTTGGTCATGTGTATTTCTATGAGTAGCTTCATCTCCTATGGGAATGAAGTGAGATATTTTCAAATAACTTTTGGGCAATATGAAGTTCTCCTGTAGAGGTGAATCCAAGTTGAGAGGGATTCAGAAACTCAAAATTTGGAGTGGATGGACTAGAAGCTATGGTCTCAGCAGGGGATGAGCTTGTGGGAGCGAGGGGCTGGAGGGTGGCATCTCCCACTGAATCTTGAGACAGAGTTTTGCTCTTGTTGCCCAGGCCGGAGTGCAATGGCGCGATCTCAGCTCACTTCAACATCGCCTCCTGGATTCAAATGATTCTCCTGCCTAAGCTACCTAAGTAGCTGGGATTACAGGCACTTGCCACCATGCCTGGCTAATTTTTGTATTTTTAGTTGAGACGGGGTTTTATCATGTTGGCCAGCCTGGTCTCGATCTCCTGACCTCAGGTGATCCAGCCACCTTGGTCTCCCAAAGTGCTGGGATTACAGGCGTGAACTATGGCGCCCCACCCTCCGGCTGCATCTTTCTTCACAACAGCTAAGGGCAGGGGCCTGAGGACCTCTGGGAGGCCAAGGAGAGGGGGACTGAGTATCTTTTTTTTGAGACGAAGTCTCGCTCTGTCACCCAGACTGGAGTGCAGTGGCTCGATCTCGGCTCACCACAGCCTCTACCTCCCGGGTTCAAGAGATTCTCCTGCCTTAGCCTCCCCAGTAGCTGGGATTACAGGTGCCCGCCACCACGGGTCTGGCTAATTTTTGTATTTTTAGTAGAGACTGGGTTTCACCATGTTGGCCAGGCTGATCTCAAACTCCTGACCTCAGGTGATCCATCTGCCTCAGCCTCCCAAAGTGCTGGGATTATAGGTATGAACCATCTTGCACAGCTGGGCCTGAGGATTTCTGGGAGTCTCTGACACCCTATTCTGGGAGACAGGGGTTTTGAGGCCAAAACTCTTTTAATAATAATACTAAAATGTTATTTGCCTTTTTTGCTCTTATTCTCTCATGAGTCTACAGTGGCATTTCCAGAGTGGAGTTTCCGTGACATATGCTGTCACAACAGAATGAATGCAGAAGCGGACATGAGCACCTGCCTGTCCTCTGTTAAACCAGACATTAAAGGGATTTGCAAGTGTGTCAAACAATGCCATTCTTCTCACAAAACACTTTTGAAACTTTTTTCATAAAAATGCTGTTTCTATTGACATATTTTTATTATTATTTAAAATAAATGAATTAAATATTTTTAAATTTTCTCCTTTAATTTCTATTATGGTAATTACCAATAGATACAACCCCTAGAAAGGAAAGCTCTCTGGGAGTCCTCAGTAAACTCTAGGAGTGTAAAGACAAAGTGCTGAGAATTGCTACTTTCAGAACAAACTTTCTTACAAATCCCCTCCTTTGGGCTGTAACATAATTCTGTTCAAACATGCTTTAAGTGGTAGGCTTGATTATTTGTTTTAGGGAAATCCTTTTGCATTGCTGTGTATATTTCATGAGTTTACCCTTTTTATTTTTTCAAAGTAGGGAAAGTGCCTCTCAATTTTTTTTTTCTCGGTTCACTGTAGCCTCTGCTTTTGGGTTCAAGTGATTCTTCTGCCTCAGCCTCCCGAGTAGCTGGGATTATAGGAGTGTGTGCCATCATGTCCAGTTAATTTCCTTCTTTTTTTTTTTTTCTTGAGATGGAGTCTTATTCTGTCACCCAGACTGGAGTGCAGTGGCATGATCTCGATTCACTGCAACCTCTACCTCCCAGGTTCAAACAATTCTCCTGTCTCAGGCTCCCAAGTAGCTAGGATTCAGGTGCACACCACCACGCATGTCTAATTTTTGTATTTTTAGTAGAGATAGCGTTTCACCATGTTGGCCAGGCTGGTCTCAAACTCCCAACCTCGGGTGATCTGCCCGCCTCGGCCTTCCAGAATTCTGGGATTACAGGCGTGTGTCACCAGGCCCGGCCTCCAATTTCTCTTTTTAACAAACGGTGGATCTCAGGCTCAGGCCTTCAGCAAGCCACAGTATCTCACTAGAATTTAATAAGGCTGTTTTGCACAACTAATGGATTCAATATAGGTCCCTGCTACTGCTTTGTATACTGGGGCCAAAAAGGGTTTAGTGCTAATGCAATGATTCTCAAAGTATGGAGCCTGAACCAGCAGCGTCACTTGGGAACTTGCTGAAAATGTAAATTCTCATCTCAGATCCACTGAGTCAGAGACTCTGGGTGTGGGGCCCAGTAAGACTCCTCCTCCTCCCAGGTGATCCTGATATTGTGAAAATTTGAGAGCCCCTCCTCTGCTGCTCTGTTGGGTTCATCCTTCCACCCAACCAATTGGCAACCTCTTCGGCCCAGCAGACCCAATGGCCCCAGTGCCTGTCCCCATCATCCTACCATGTCCAGTTGCTTGTGCGTGTCCTCCAGCGCCACCTCAGTTGCCTCCTTCAGCTGCTTGCTCACGATCTGGAAGAGGTTCAGTGTGGCCATCTTAATGGTGCCAAGCAGGAGGGTCTTCTTGGCAGCAGTGTTCTGGATGTGTGCCCAGCGAGATTCCTGGGGAGGGGATAAGGATGGGGCATGAGCACAGAATGTGGGGTGTGTGTGTGTGTGTGTGTGTGTGTGTGTGTACTCAGAGCTCTCACTCACCCAGTGCCTGCCCCGGGCCCCCTCACCCAGATGATGACGTTGCTGCGGGCACGGTCAAAGCGCATCTGCAGCCTTGCCAGCTCATTGTTTTGCTGCAGGATTTCATCATCCTTCTCTTCCATGTAGTGTGCCAGCCGGGCCTTGGCATGCTCAATCTTCTCCTGCCCCTCCTGTGCAGACTGCATGAGGTCGTGGTGCATGCTCATCAGCGTCTTGTAGCGCGCGATCACCTCATGGATCTCCTCGAACTGTGGACAGGGGCTCAGGTCAATGCACAGCCAGCCTCAGGGGCCTGATGGAGCCACCCAGTCCTGCCAACCCCCAGCCTGGATGCCTGGACATCTGGGGAGACAGGCCCTTGGCCAGGGGCATGGCCAGAGGCTGTGAGGAACATTGGAGTTCCTGCTGCCTGCCTCTCCTGGGTTTGTATCGGCCATGGTCCATTTGTTGGGCTGGGGGGATGTACAACTGGGCCAGGGATTTCCAATTTTAACTGCATGTTAGAATCACCTGCGGGGGCTTTAAAAAGGATACCTGCCAGTCTCTACCCCCAGAGATTCAGATGAATAAACAAGTCTTCTGTGGTCTCTGACACCTGAATTTTGCAAAAGATCCCCAGGTGGTTCCAGGCACAGCCAGGGTTGATAATTGCTGGTGGAGGGCATTTTGATATGTCTCCTAAGGCAAGAATTTCCTATTCAATGAGGTTGTACCAAGAACCACTTATAAGTCAGAAGCTATGCTAAATGCTAGGGAAATAGCAAAAGATGGGAAATCCAGACTCTGCTCTTAGGAAGCTTACAGCCTGAGGGGTGGCATGGAGGGAGGACAGACAGACAAGTAAACAGTTACAACAGTAAGATAAGCCCTATCTTTGACTGGGGACAGGGCTGGACAGGAATCTGGGTGAGGCTTCCAGTTGGTGATCTCTGGTATTTATTCATTTGCTGAGGGAGAAGCGGGGGCTAGAGAGGGTGCTGGTGGGGCAGGTGGCCTGCCAGACTCAGCTCACCTCCTCCAGCATGGTCCAGAACCACGCCACTTTGGCCCTAATCCTCAGGTCCCGCTCAGTGGAAGAGAGGCCCTGAAACTAACTCTCTTTAGAAGGCAGAGCATGAGCACCAGTTCTGTGATGCCAAGTTGCCTTTCTAGGGGCTTATCAAAGCATGCCTTTCAGCCACTCAGGGGAAACTTCCTGAGCACCTTCTCCATCTCATGACATCGCCAGGGACGGATGGGTGTCCTGGGAACTGCCCTGCTGGCCTTTCCCCAAATATGCCTCTTTGGGGAAGGGCCACCCAACTCAGCACTGGAGGAGGTAGAAACAGCCCGAAAAGGTTTATTGGGAGAAAGGGTGGCTGAAATGAGACAGGAGGTATGAATAGATGACAGCCAGCAAAATGAGTGTGGGGAGGTGAGGCAGTGCGACAGGTGGAGGAGACAGCCTGGACAAAGATAAACAGAATAGGGGGTCGCATGTTCACGACGTTCAGGGTAGCCTGAGTTCAAGATGGGGAGGAAGAGATTGACAAGAAGAAAAGAAGAAGGAAGAAAGAGGGAAGGAAGAAGAAGGAGAAGAAGAAAAAAAGAAAGAGAAGGCAAGAAAGAAAGGAAGAAAAAGAAAGAAAAAAGAAGAAAGAAAGAGAAAGCAGGCAAGCAAGAGTTCAGTAAACCTTGGGAAGGAGTGTGGACTTTATCCATTGAAGGATTTTAAGAAGCAGAGAGGGCTGGGCATAGTGGCTTCTGCCTGTAATCCCAGCATTTTGGGAGGCTGAGGTGGGTGAATCACGGGATCAGGAGTTCAAGACCAGCCTGGCCAAGATGGTAAAATCCTGTCTCTACTCAAAATACAAAAATTATCCAGGCATGGTGGTGGGCACCTGTATCCCAGCTACTCGGGAGGCTGAGGCAGAGAATTACTTGAACCCAGGAGGTGGAGGTTGCAGTGAGCCGAGATTGTGCCACTGCACACCAGCCTGGGTGACAGAGTGAGACTCCATCTCAAAAACAAAAAAGCAGAGAGACAATTCACATCTACATTTCTGAAAGTTCATCTGGCACACAGTGCAACAGCGTACCACAGTTCAAATAAACAGACTACATCCAAGCTACTAGGAACACACCTCTAAAACTTAATGCTGATGCCAAAACGATTCAGGTGTCAAATCAAAGAGCCTCCAGCGTCCAAAGATGAGACGATTTGAACATTAGTAAGAATAAGTGCAAAGGATTAAAACATACCAAATATGTTAAAAACCTATAAGTTCACAATGATACTAGAAGCATTACAGGTGAGTGCTAGAGAACCAATTCATTATTCTGAAAACTGTAAATAAAGCATTTGACAAACTTTCTCTGTAAGACCCACACAATCATCAAATGGGAAGGTTCTCTCTTATGAAGTCCTTTTCTTTAATGGTAGTGTTCAGGCAAATAAACGAAGAAGGGTTGCTAGTGAGTATCTTCCCCCCACCATTGAGGAAACCAATATCCTGACTTCTATCACTAAAGATTAATTTTACCTGTTTTTAAACACATGAGTGGAATCATGCGATGTAACCGCTTTTGTGTCGGGCTTAAGAAGCGTACCAACTAAGGGCAGTGTGAGGACCTTAGTGGACCACAATTGGAACAAACCAACTATACAAAAAGCATCTGTGCAATAATTTGTCTTAAAAGACAGGATCTCACTGTATTGTCCAGGCTGGAGCACTGTGGTACAAATATGGCTGACTGCAGACCTGACCTCCTGAGCTCAAGCAGTCCTCCTGCCTCAGCCTCCCACATACTTGGGACCACATATGTGTGCCACTATGGCCGACTACTTTTTATTTTTAAATTTTTTTGTCGAGTCGGGGGGAGGGTCTCACTTTTTTGTTCAGGCTGGTCTTGAACTCCTGAGCTCAAGTGATCCTCCCACCATGGCCTCCCAAAGCACTGGGATTACAGGCATGAGCCACCACGCTTGCCCCATTTTGTTCGAGAAATGATACTGATATTTGGTGTTAAGGAATTACTATCAATTTTATAGTAGGTGTGACAATGGTGTTACAGTTATGTTAAAAAGAATTCTCATCTCTTAGAGATACATACTGCAGAGAGACACATATGGTTGAAAATATACCATTTGCTTCAAAATGGCAGAGGTGGGCTAGTACGGGGGATGTGACTATGAATTGATAATTTCTGGAATCAAATATTGAGCAGCAGATGTTCAATACACTGTTGTCTTTACTTCTGTATATGTTTAAAATTTTTCATATAAAAAGTTACAAAACGTTAAATGTTATACAATAATAAAAACAAGCATGAGATGAGGATTTTTAAAAGCAGGGTACTCTTGGTGTCTGAGGAGAGGTGAAGAAGCATGAGATTTGGAAGGACACAAAGGATTTCATTTATTGGATTTCAATTGTCAGTAGTGTTTAAGACAGCAGAACTGGGGGCAGATGGGGAAAAGATGAAGATTTAGCAAAGCTGTATGATGAGTACTTGGTTGCTATTATGTGTGTCTCTATACTTTCCAGTATGCTTAAAGTATTTTGAACAAAATAAACAAAGAAGAAAAGAAAGAAAGAGCGGGGTGGGAGGAATGTCAAACAGGCTGGCCAGGAATGACGCCGAGTTGAACTCCAGATGAGGTACCACTGGTGGCCTGGATGGGGAAGGGGCCGGGACTGGATTCCAGAAATACTTCCAAGGCAGAACAGACCAGATCTGCTGATTGATAGCTGTGGCACTGAGCAAGAGGGAGGAGCCAAGGAGGCCCAGGTTCTGGCAGAGCTGTGGGTGGGTGGTCCTGCCATTCACCAGCACAGGACAAACCAGCAGCAGGGTTGGCCTGGGGGTGGCAGGAAGTAGATGAGATGAGTGTGCATGGGGAAGAGTTAGATGTGGGGGTCTCAAACTTAGGAGCGAGACACAGGCCAATTTCCTCAATCCTAAGATACATATTTTAGCAACTCTGAACTCAAGACACATCTTACAATATTTTGTTTGTTTTGAGATGGAGTTTCCCTCGTCCCCCAGGCTGGAGAGCAATAGCATGACCTCAGCTCACTGCAACCTCTGCCTCCCGGGTTCAAGAAATTCTCCTGCCTCAGCCTCCTGAGTAGCTGGGATTACAGGTGCCTGCCACCATGCCTGGCAAATTTTTGTATTTTTAGTAGAGATGGGATTTCACCATGTTGCCCAGGCTGGTCTTGAACTCCTGACCTCGTGATCCACCCACCTTGGCGTCCTAAAGTGCTGGGATTACAGGTGTGAGCCACCACATACCTGGCCACGTCTTGCAATTATTGGCTGTTTTAATATGGTAGTCCCTCCTTACTTCCCGCCCCCTTCCCCACAAACCCTAACCATGAAATGAACCACTGACCTTATAGCACATAGCAGCTTTGAGTGGAGGAAATAACGCAGATGTGGGACTCATGCATGAGTAAACTAGGTGAGTGGTTTGATATGGGAATTGCAGGAACTTTAAACAGCTGGGCATCCTGTCGCCCCTCCTCTAACAGGACATGGATCCAAGTGCCTGGAGGGGGTGCCTCTATCTGCCCGGTGGGGGGCTCTTCTGGCTGTTGGTCACATGGGGGAGGAGATAGTGTGACATGGGTGGCATTCATGGAAGGCCCTGGTCATTGATCAGGGAGAAAAGTGGAGGATCTGGGACAGAGCACCTGGACTCACCATGTAAGAAGGATCTGGGAAGAGGCCCTTCTCCACCCCAGCCAGGAGCCTGAGAAGGAGGAGCCACAGAGTTCAGGGCGGGGGGGGGGAGGGGCGTGGTTTCTGGTTTCTTGGGGGGGCATCAGCAGTGTTACACTGCAAGAGGCATGCTGGAACTGAGAAGTTCCCTGGGCTTGGGCCACAGGGATGGCAGGAAGAACCCTGGTCAATTACACCGTGGGGCCCACGGAGGAGTGGCTAAAAGCAAATGAGCTATGAGACTGATGAGCTGTGAGACACTCGGCAGGTGACTTAACCTCTCGGAGCTTCCATTTCCTTCTCTGTAAAAGGATGATCAGCTTGGGTTCCCCTTGGGGCTGACCAGAGAACTGAATGAAGTTACCCATGTGAAGCACCAACTCCCAGGCCCAGGACATCTGAAACACCCCAGTTCGTATGGTGTTTCAACACCAGGAGGCTGGGTGTTTTTCCAGCTCCTCTCCCTGCCCCTTCCCAATTTATTCTCCAGTAAACAGAAGACACTGAGAGGAGGGGACGCAGGGATAGAGAGGCCACCTGCAGACACACACACACACACACACACACACACACACACACCCTTTAGACAGACACAGCCAAGGATACACATGTAGACATAAGCATGCAACTCATGCAAGACATATACACAGTTGTGACTCAAGACACACCGCTGGACCCCACCCCTTGGGAAACTCATCCAGCCTCACCAGAGGCTTCTTTTAGCTGCCCCCGACTGCCCCCCCCAGGACCAGTTGCATCTCCTTAGAGCAGGGTGTCCCTCTCTGCAGAGCCCCTGGGGCTCAGAAAGTCCACAGTCTGAAGCCAGCTGAGCCTGAGCTCTACCCTATGGCCCCAGGCCCCAGGAAAGAGGAGGTGGGGCTGAGGCAGGTGCCAGGGCCGACCCCGCTGGGCTCCTTGGACTCACCTCGGAGTTCTCCACCACTTTCTCTAGGTACTTGTTGAAGATGGAGTAGTCCTGCAGCTTGGCGCTCAGCCGCTGGTGCTCCAGCCGCAGCGCCACCATCTCCTGCTTGCCCCTGGTCAGCTCCCGCAGGTGCTGACACCTGAGTTCTCGCTCCTTGTTGACTTTCTTCATGGCTCGGATCCGTTTCTGGTCATTCTCCTGGGTCCGGGGGAAGCAGCACTGGTCAGGAAGCCTCGCCCAGTCCTCCCGGGGCCCAGGCCATCCTGGGGCTGGTGGTGCCCTCAGACCCCTCCATGTGCTCAAAGCATCCTGGGAACAGGCAGAGACTACTGGGTCACCCATGGGACAGAAATGGGGTGAAGGAAAAGGCTCAGGGGTATTTGAAGCGGCTTGAGGAGACTTCTGTGGACTGAGGTGGGGCTCAGGGGACTGTGGGACAGAGGTTTCATACAAGGTCAAGAGGTGGCCCTGGGGGCCAGGGGAGGGCAGACAGGAAATGGTTCTTTCCTGTGGGACTTGGGCTCTGGACTTCAGAGTGGACTAGGGGAGACCAGCATTGCATCGGGCTCAAGAGCCTGGAGGGAACTCAACCCCCTGAGAAGATTGAGAAAGTCTGGAAGTGGTAGCAGGAAGCCTTCTCACAAAGCTTCTGTTGTTTCTGTTCTTCCCAGTGGCCATTTTCTGTGGAGCAGAAGGACCACTCCTGGATCAGAGCTGGGAGGCACGAATTTTCTCCTGATTCGCTGCTCAGTGCCTCCATTTTCCCAGCTGTGGAGATGGGAGGCAGGAGCCCCTCTCCCTTTCACAGGCTGGGGTAACAGGGCTGGAGCTACAGGAAGATGAGCTAGGAGATGCACCTGGTGCTGTAGGGCCTGGGGATAAGGCCACTGGGAGAGCATGCACCTAGGAGCTCAGACTTGCATCCCACTTAGGGAGGAGATGGTACAGGCAGTTCAATGCGGGAAGACAGAAGGAGGCTCAGCTACTGCATTCGATCCAATCCTGCCTCTTCTTTCTGCCAAGCCCTCCCCTAAGATTAGGGGCAAGCCCACCCCTCGCCCTGTGTGACTCCTGTCTTGCATCATCGGCTCCTGTGATTCCACATGGACAGACTTATGGAGTGTGGCACTTGGAGGCCACTGAGGAAGGTGCATGGAGGATCTGTGTGCTGCCCCGTAAGCCCAGGAGAGGGCTGAGGGGGTCTAAACCAGTGGCTTTCAAATCCACCTGCTCATCAGAACTGCCTACGGAGCTTTTTAAAAAATATAGAGGCCAGGTGTGGTGGCTCATGCCTGTAATACCCAGCACTTTGGGAGGCCGAGGCAGGTAGATCAAGAGATCAAGACACGGAGACTGTCCCAGCCAACATGGTGAAACCCCGTCTCTACCAAAAAAACACAAAAATTAGCCAAGTGTGGTGGCACTCGCCTGTAGTTCCTGCTACTTGGGAGGCTGAGGCAGGAGAATGGCTTGGACCCGGGAGGCAGAGGTTGCAGTGAGCTGAGATCGTGCCACTGTACTCCAGCCTGGGTGACAGAGCAAGACTGTCTCCAAAAATAAAAAATAAAATATAAATGAATGAATGAATGAATGAATGAATGAATACAGAAGCCTGGGCCCAACCTCAGATCTGCTGAAAGCAACAAGGAAAGCCCCGGGGGTGTGTATTTGTAGCAAATTCTCCGGGAACTGAAGCTGCTGACCCTTTGAGTACCATTTGGAGAATGCTCACACCCAAATCTCCTCCTGCCCCAACTACTCCATACGTGCTTCTCTGGCTGCTAAGAAGAACTGGACCTCTGGAGAATGTGCCCAGTCCATGGACTTCCTGTCCCACATGGCTTAGGCAGAGAGCAGGAAGGAAGATGCTTAAGAGCGGGGCTCCTTTGTAGCAGACAGCAATCATTACCAGCTCCCAGAGCTGGATCAGGCCTTTCAGAGCTGTGTAAGTGCTAACTGGAGTGGGTCTGGATAAATCTGGATTTTCAGACAATTACATTGCTCCACTAAGGAGTGAAGTGAGAGGGGCATCTTGGAATGGACTCTGGTGCCTGGTCCTTCAACTATTCCCTGCCTGGACCTTCAGTGCAAGGACAAGGATGGAGGGGTGGGGTGGACGGAGGGACTAAAACTCTGTCTCATTCATCACTGTATTCCCCAAGTGCTGAGTCCTGACTGTAGCACATTCATTCATCCATCCATCCATCCATCCATCCATGCATTCATTTACTGGATAAACTGTATGTCCTATGTACTGGAAAGGAAATAGGAAACAGCCATCTAGAGGGGGCAGAGACTGATAGGTAAATGGGAAATTACAACTGGAGACAGGTGGGGGACATAAAGGATGCCCAGGGAAGTGCCAGACAGTATAGGAGCACTAAGGATACTTTTAACTCAGGGCGAGGAGTCAGCAGAAGCAAGGAGGAGGAGCGACAGTTGACCCGACTGCTAAATGTGGATCCCCCCTGCCACTGTGGCCACCCATGACCCTTCAAACCTGGATGAACTGCTCAAACTTCTGGATGTGAGCCTTCAGCTGGGCTTCCTTAACGCCCAGTTCCTCCCAGCGCAGGTTCAGGCTTTCCATTCTGAGCTGAAACATCTTTGGGATGGGAGTGTGGGAGCAGAGGGGTCAGGAGGGCCCCTGACATGGGTACCAAGGAAAACCCCAGCATCTCCTGCCCCAGAGGCTCCATCCTCAAGCCCAGGAGGGTCCAGAGGAGCCTCCCACTTTCCATCCCATGCCTGGCTCAGAGCAGAGGATCCCTGGACACTGGTACCCCCAAGACCCAGATCCTTTCTGTTCTCCCTGAAGAGACTAGACTGCCATAGAGGACTCCTGGCTCTAGCCACCTCACCCACACAATGGAGAGCTGTCCACGGGATCTCCCAGAGCCCCAGCCCATCCGCTCCTTCCCTGTACCTCTGCCCTCCATCCCCGAGTCCCCACCTTCTTCTTCTGCACCATAGCATGATGCATGATCTTCATCTCCTTTTTCTTCTCCAGTAGCCGGATGGATGGCGACTCCAACTCTCCCTGAATATTGGGGAACTTCCTGTCCAAGATGTGAATGCAACAGGGCTGTGTGTTCTGAGGCGGATTAGTCTGGGGCTGGGAGTAACCGGTGGAGACAGGTACCTATGGGGAAGGAGGGGCCTCTCTCTCTTTCTGAGGGAAAGGGATGTTGTGTTGAGAATTATAGAGGGCCATATGGGAATAAGCTGGAGGAGAGTGACAGGGGTAGGGACCAGATGATGGGGTGGACTAGTGCCAAGGTAATTTGGGGCACTGGGTTACAGGAGAGGAGGGGACAGACAGGTTGGAAGCTGAGGCATGGGGTGGATGTGGGTGGTCCCAGGCACAGAGGGGCCAGGCCTCGGACACTCACTGCAGCATCTGCAGCAGCCGCTCCCCATACTGCAGCCTGAAGTACTCGGCCAGGTCTTCCTCCTCCATGATGCCCAGACTCATGGCGGCAGTGACCTCCTGGCCCAGGCAGCTGACTCTTCACAGTGAAATGGTGGGTAGCAGAGCCGCAGGTGGCTCAGGGGTGGTGGCTGAGCTCTTGCTTCTCCCGTCGGCCTTCAGGGTCCCACTGATGACAGTGTTTGAGACTCTGCAGAAGGTGGCTGGAGACAGGATGGGCGGCTCAGGACGATGTGCTGGGGCAGTGGGTGGAGGGGGGAGATGCGGTTACCTAGCAACAGGCTGCCTGGTTGCGTGGCCCACACGTGGAGCTCAGGCGCTGCCCTCTGCCCCCTGCTCCCATTGGTCCTCCCCTTGCTGGGGTCGTGCCCTCTGCGCCTGCTCTTTGCCCTGAGGAACCCTGGGAAGGCGTCAGGCCTGGTTAGGTGCTGGTTGCGATGGAGCCTAGGGCCAGGAGGCAACTTCGGGTGAGTGTGGCTGAAAAGGGGCGTCTGGTGGAGGAGGGGCCTTGTGTGGGCGCCCTTCTCCCGGGGCCTCTCTGGGGTTCAGGAGTGGGTGAGGGTGAGGGTGAGGGAGGGGCCAGGACTTGGCTGGATGGCCGTGAAGAGGAGAGAGTGAAAGGAGGCACTTAGCGGCGGCAGGGGGCTTGTCGCGCGGAGGCCCCGGGTTAGAAACCACGCCACGCGGGGAATATGCGCCAGGTGTTTTTTGTGTGTTTGTTTTGTTGCTTGTTTGCGCCGCCCTCTCCGCTCCTCTCTGTCTGGGACGGGGAGCGGAGTGGGGTGCGGTGGGCTGAGGTGGGCTAGGGCGCTCGGGCCGGGGCGTGTCAAGAGCGCAGCAAGCCCGCCCCGCCGCATTGCCTGTCGTCTGGCGCCCCCTGCTGGCCGTCCGCCGCGCCCTGCTTCCGGGCCTGGGAGGAAGAGGAGACGTGTAGGGGGTGGCGCTGCCCACCTCAGCCCTGCTCCCTTCCCACGCTCCGCCGGAGCCTCCCCTCTAGAGCGGATCGTCACACACACCTGTCGCTTCCAGCCAGCCCAGTGGGCTCATCAGAGAAAGCAGGACATCCCCCAGCCCACGCAGTACACAGCCACACAATCCCCACCCCTAAACAAGAGGTGGTTCTCCACCGGAGTCCCGTAGAAAAAGGCCCAGCAGGGCGAAGATAAGACCGCCTAGAACCATTCTAAGCTCCTCGGAAGGGCATGTTTCACTGTTTATCCAGAGAGGCTAGCACAGTCAATCTGGGGTTCCCCTCCCTTTCTCTGAGGCTGTAGCTCAGTCTTGGGGCTGTGCAATGCCAGCCCTTGAGGAGGAAGCCATCTGTTTCTGAAATCACCCGTTCTCCCTGGTATATGAGACATATCCTTGATTCTCCTCGAAATCAGGTGGTCCAGGGCCACGTTGGTCCATAGTGGTAGCTGCTAAGACATCCTCTGCTCCAGCCCAAGTATCTTCTCCTATCTGGAAGTTCTTTCTGCTGCTTGGTTTGGTGCCTGTCATGGGAGTTTTCATGATCTTGATCCTCACACACCACCATCCCTTTCTGCCCTCCTAGGGGCTTATTCACTATCATCAGAATAGCAAAGGAAAGAACTGGCCCCCACAGTTCAATTACTTCTGCCTGGGTCTCTCCCATGACATGAGGAAATTCTGAGAGATTCCATTCAAGTTGAGATTAGAATGCGGACACAGACAAACCATATCCAACCCTAATCTCCAATGTAATGGTACTTGGATATAGAGCCTTTGGGAGGTAATTAGCTCCTAAGGATGGTGCCCTCATGATGGGTGTAGTGCCCTTATAAGAAAAGAGAGAGCTTGCCTTCTCTCCCTTTGCTGTCTGCCATGTGAGGGAACAATGGGAAGATAGCCATCTGCAAACCAGCAAGCAGACCCTCAGCAGACACTGCCTCTCCTGGCACCTTGATGTCGGGCTTCCCAGCGTCCAGAACTGTGAGAGAGAAATGTTGAAGTTTTCCAGTCTAGAATTTGTGAGAGTAGCCCAAACTAAGACACTTACCGACATGGTATATTACCAATCTCTTAAAATTTGCCAGTCTGATAGGTGAAGTGAGTCGTGTATAGAGCCATTTCTTCTTCTATGTGTCTCCTGTTCATGTGTCGTGCCCATTTTAAAAAAGTTGCTTCACATTTTTATTGATTTACAGAAGGTCTTTATTCTGGAAAGTAATCCTGCATTTTTGATGCTCACTTTTCATCCTATTCCTTTTGAGTGGGCTGGTTGGACCCTCATTGGATGCAGCCAGGGACAGGAAGGCAACTAAAGCAGCAATCAATGGCAGGTGGACCAACAGCCAGTCACCCAGACTGATTCACCAAGTCGACAGAAGAATTAGTTTTCCCTTATTCTAGGCTTGGGATTCTCTACAAGCAGAAATGGCGCTAAACAGGGGAGGTGGAACAATATTTGGTCTGTTCACCCTGTGACTACATCATTTGGAGGTAGATAAAACAGACCTGCAGTCCCCAATAATGTTTTTGTTTGTTTTTTTGAGACAGGGTCTTTCTCTATTGCCCAGGGTAGAGTGCAGTGGTATGATCATGGATCATGCAGCCTTGACCTCCCAGGCCCAAGCAATCCTCCCTCAGCCTCCCAAAGTGCTGAGATCACATGCATGAGCCACTGTGCCTGGCCATCCCAAGAATGTTTTGAGAGCTCAGGCTCAGTGCAGACTCTTGTTAACAGCCTAAATTCATCCCATTGTAAGTTCACTCTTGGGCATTGCACAAACCCTTCTCAAATTCCTCCCTACTTGCCTCATTTGCATGTGGTTTATGGTATTGGTGACACGAGGAAGGGTCCTAGAATGGAGGCAACCTGTAGCAATAGCTTCACGGTTCCATTTACTGGAATAGTAATTGCATTCTAGGCTCAGCCGTGATTGTGTTTAAAAATAAGATGTTAGTCTTATGTGTCTGTCGAGCATCTCCTTAGAGTTCATTGACTTCAGTCATTTGATTTCTACTAACGAAACCCAAGATACTTCCTTCCTTTCATAAATAGTTTTACTCTATTGGCCAGACGCAGCGGCTCACACCTGTAATTCTAGCACTTTGGGAGGCCAAGGGGGACGGATCACCTGAGGTCAGGAGTTGGACACCAGCCTGGCCAGCAAAGTGAAATAGTGCCTCTTCTCAAAATAGTGAAATTAGCTGGGTGTGGTGGCAGGTGCCTGTAATCCCAGCTTCTCAGGAGGCTGAGGCAAGAGAATTGATTGAACCTGGGAGGTGGAGGTTTCTGAGCCAACATTGAGTTACTGCATTCCAGCCTAGACAATGGAGCAAGACCCAATCTC